AGTAAAAATTGTTTTCATAATAATGTTGACTCTGTTTGCCTTTTCTGATGGTTTGGTCCCTGAAAAGTTGGTGCCTTTTTGCTGGTTGATGCTTTTTCTGCAGTGGTGCTGCAGAAGCAATGGTAAGTAAAACTGTTAGCACTTTGGCACACATCAAGGTGGTAATAATACTGATATCTTTCACTGTCGCACATTACAAGGGACCCAGAATAAGAAGTAAGATCACTTAAGAAAGTCTTTGGTGAAATAATGAAATATATAAATTTTATTAGATTTCAACCTTTGAGTATCTTTACAACATCCTATATAATAAGAGCAATTCTACTGCATACTGAAGTACTGTGGTTGCCTCAAGATAAAGCACTTACACAATTGAACTGTCAGCTAACCTAGCCATTTTTTAAATAAAACTCTATTTTTACTTAAAAGAATGACTAACTGTAATTATTCATATTTGAGAATTTGGCAGACATTTTCTCAAAAATGAACTGAGTTTATCAATTGAAGAAAAATAGTAAGAGTATTTGTTCCCAATGATAACATTCAAGCTTTCAAATGAAAATTAGAATTTTGGAAAACTTATGTCTTAACAGCTTCCCAGTATTTCATGATGACCTTATAGTGATATCAACTAATGTGAATTTCTGATATTGCATAATGAAATGCATTAGCATTTGGAAAACCAGTATAACTCAATGAAACAGTATTTTCCAGATGACCATATCATGGTGTTAGAAAATCATGGATGGATAAAAAAAAAATCCATTTAAAGTATAAAATAGACCAGTGGATTTTAATATCAACAGAACATGAAAAGTTATTTGGTATGGTTTCAATTACTATTTAAGAACTTACCACTGGCCAGCGCCGCAGCTCACTAGGCTAAGCCTCCGCATGCGGCGCCAGCACCCCGGGTTCTAGTCCTGGTAGGGGCGCCAGATTCTGTCCCGGTTGCTCCTCTTCCAGTCCAGCTCTCTGCTGTAGCCCGGGAAGGCAGTGGAGGATGGCCCAAGTGCTTGGGCCCTGCACCCACATGGGAGACCAGGAGGAAGCACCTGGCTCCTGGCTTCGGATCGGCGCAGCGCACCAACCGTAGCGGCCATTTGTGGGGTGAACCAACGGAAGGAAGACTTTTCTCTCTGTCTCTCTCTCTCACTGTCTAACTCTGCCTGTCAAAAACAAACAAACAAACAAAAACACTTACCACTTACCAAGTTTTGGTGTAGTACCAAAGGAGAATATCCACAATTATGTGCAAAGATTATTTAAATGCTCTTCCCTTTTCCATGTACATATCTCTATGAATTTGGATTTTCTTCATATTCTTCAACAAAATTGATGTGTGGTGACAGTTTAAATGCAGAAGGATCTAGGAGAATACTATAGCCATATTCTATTCAGCCAGACATTAAAGAATTTGCAAAAATGTAAAACAATGCCATTCTCATGATTTTTTTAAAATACAGTAATTTTCATTTCATTTCAAATGTATTAATATTTTTGTTAATGTTTTTTAAAATTTCTCTGATTTTTTAAATAAATTGTATTTATTTTCATTTTATTTGAAGGAGAGACAGAGACAAATACATCTTCCATTCATTGGTTCACTCCCCAGATACAATAGTCAGGGCTGGGCAAGGCCAAAGCTGGGAGCCTGGAACTCAGTCTCCCCCGTGGGTGGCAGGGACCCAAGTACTTGAGCCATCACCTGTTGCCCACGTGTGCTCCTTAGCAGGAACCTGGAATCAGGAGCAGAGCAGGAGCTCAAGCCCAGGCACTCGGATATAGGATGCAGGCATCCCAAGTGGCTTCCCTCGTTGCTCAATTTTATTTTCTAATATGATAAGTAGTAACTATAACCCATACAAATAAAAACTGTTTGAGGCCCCAGTAAATTTTAAGAGGATCATGTTGTCCTGAGACCAGAGTTTAAGAATCACCAGCTTAGTGTATAGAGCAAGAAGGACAGTATTGTTAGAGTAATCAAGGGAGAGTGGTAAGAGAGCAGATCAGAGAGCAGTGAGGCAGTCATGTAGGGCTGAGTAGTTCTGCATAAGGACCTTGGCTAAAACTCATGGTGAGATGGGGAGCTATTGGAGGTTTTGAGTAGAGGAAAGATGAAATCTGAGACATATTTTAAAAGCAGCTATGTTGAAAATATAAGAGAGGATGGGGCCAGCACTGTGACACGGCAGGTTAACGCTCTGGCCTGAAGTGCTGGCATCCCATATGGGTGCCAGTTTGAGACCCGGCTGCTCCACTTCCAATCCAGCACTTTGCTATGGCCTGGGAAAGCAGTAGAAGATGGCCCAAGTCCTTGGGCCCCTGCACCCGCATGGGAGACCTGGAAGAAGCTCCTGGCTCCTGGCTTCAGATCAGCATATCTGCAGCCGTTGCAGCCAACTGAGGAGTGAACCAGTGGATAGAAGACCTCTCTCTCTCTCTCTCTGCCTCTCCTTCTCTCACTGTGTAACTCTGACTCTCAAATAAAATAAATAAATCTTTTTTAAAAAAAGAAAGCAAGAAAATATAGGAGAGGGGCAGGAACAAACCATTTAAAAGGCTATTGTATCAGGGCTGGCGCTGTGGCAAAGTGGGTAAAGCTGCTGCCTGCAGTGCCGGCATCCCATATGCATTCCAGTTCCAGTCCTGGCTGCTCTACTTCCAATCCGGCTCTCTGCCATGGCCTGGGAAAGTAGTGGAAGATGACCCAAGTCCTTGGGCCTGCACCCACGAGGGAGGGAGACCTGGAGGAAGCTCCTGGCTCCTGGCTTCGGATCGGCGCAGCTCCGGCAGTTGTGGCCATCTGGGGAGTGAACCATCAGATAGAAGACTCTCTCTCTCTCTCTCTCTCTCTCTCTCTGCCTCTCCGCTCTCTGTGTAACTCTGACTTTCAAATAAATCTTTTTTTTTTAAAGACTATTGTTTTAATCCAGTCATAGATGATGGTGGTTTATCCCAAGGAAGTAGAAGAGGGAATGGTGATTTGAAAGTATTTTGAAAGTTAGAGTTGATGGCTGCTTTAAGGACACAAAGTATGACAAAAAGAGAGGATTTAAGGATGACTCTGAGATGTTTAGTCAGAGCCATTTGAGAGGATGAAATGAGATAGAAAAGACTAGAAGGAACAAGTCTGGGACTCAGGTTGGAATCCAGTAGATGTATACATCTTGTGCTTAGAATATCTAACAGATTTTCAAGTGGGAAATTTTATTAAAATAAGAGTCTAGAGTTTAAAGGGAATTTCTAAGGTAGCAATATAAACTTGGAAGTTTTAATTATAGGTAGAATTTAAAACTGTGAGGCTAGAAACATCTGGAGTTCTGTTCTGAAAGTTTGGTCTCTAGACCAACAACATCAACATCACCTGGGACCTTACTAGAAAATCAAGTTACAGCCGGCACCGCGGCTCACTAGGCTAATCCTCCGCCTGCGGCGCCAGCACCCGGGTACTAGTTCCAGGTGGGGCGCTGGATTCTGTCCCGGTTGCTCCTCTTCCAGTCCAGCTCTCTGCTGTGGCCCAGGAAGGCAGTGGAAGATGGCCCACTGCATGGGAGACTAGGAGGAAGCACCTGGCTCCTGGCTTTGGATTGGCGCAGTGCGCCGGCCGTAGCAGCCCTTTGGGGAGTGAACCAACGTAAGGAAGACCATTCTGTCTCTCTCTCTCTCTCTCTCTCACTGTCTAACTCTGCCTGTCAAAAAAAAAAAAAAAAAAAGGAAAAAAAGAAAGAAAATCAAGTTACAAAGCTACAGAAGAAGAAACTGAGAGGCTGAGGCCCAGCATTCTGAGTTTTCACAAGCTCTGCAGATGGTTTTGATGCAGACTGAAGTTTAACAACCACTGATCTAAGGATTATAAGATGGAGAAGAGAAGCTGTCTAGAGACTATGCTGGGACATTCCCAACATTCACAGGTTGGTAAGATATTTTGGATCTGCCATTTTGTGTGGTAAGATCCTTGTCTCTCATCAACATTAAACTTATACCTATAAAATAGTTTTTGCTACTCTCATGTCACTATGGCGGGGAAAAAGTACAAGTAAGAGTTCAGTGTTTGTATTTTTCCCTCCCTAGATGGAATGTATATAAAGTGCAATGATCAGAAGTTATCTGAATTATTTTTTCTCTTCAGTTTTGTTATTAATTTAGAATACAGTTGGGTCCATTTTTTTCATACTTAACATTGTTTTAGGTTGGTTCCCACCTCTTCTTTGTTGATTTGAATTTGAGTATATAACTTGCTTCCAAAAGTTTACTGAAAGAAATATCCTCCCTGCTCCCTCCCTTCCACCATGTTCCCTCCATCAAGAGTAGGCAAATACTTGTATCTTCATTTGAGATTTTTGCATATTTATTTTAACTTTATTTTTATTTCATTTTTCTTGACACTACTGCCAACAGTTTTCTCTTCTATTCCATCTTAAAGCTATTGAATTTTGCGTGTACATTATATATTGTTACCTTGCCAAATTCTTTTTTTTCCCACTTTTTTAAACTTTTATTTAATGAATATAAATTTCCAAAGTACAGCTTATGGATTACAATGGCTTCCCCCCCATAATGTCCCTCCCACCCGCAACCCTCCCCTTTCCCACTCCATCTCCCCTTCCATTCACATCAAGATTCATTTTCAATTCTCTTTATATACAGAAGATCAGTTTAGCATACATTAAGTAAAGATTTCAACAGTTTGCTCCCACACAGAAACATAAAGTGAAAAATACTGTTTGAGTACTAGTTATAGCATTAAATCTCAATGTACAGCACACTAAGGACAGAGATCCTACATGAGGAGTAAGTGCACAGTGACTCCTGTTGTTGACTTAACAAATTGACACTCTTGTTTATGGCATCAGTAATCACCCTAGGCTCTTGTCATGAGTTGCCAAGGCTATGGAAGCCTTTTGAGTTCACCAACTCTGATCATATTTAGACAAGGTCGTAGTCAAAGTGGAAGTTCTCTCCTCCCTTCAGAGAAAGGTACCTCCTTCTTTGATGACCCGTTCTTTCCACTGGGATCTCACTCGCCTGCCAAATTCTTTTACTATTTGAGCTAGCTATGTCACTGACAGTGCTAATAGAAATATAATTTGAGCCACACATGTAATTGAAAATTTTTTATTAGGCACATTTTGAAAAAAACAAGGCACTGGCATTTGGTACTGCAGGTTAAGAACTTCCCCTGTCATTATGCTGATTTGAGTCAGGGCTTCTCTGCTTCCAGTCCAGCATCCTCTGGCTGTTGTGACTATTAAGGGAGTGAACCAGCAGATAGAAGCTCTACCTCACTTATCTCTACACCACTCTACCTTTCAAATAAATGAATATTTTAAAAATACAGTTAAAAAGTAAAAAGAAACAGGTAAAATTAATTTTAACAGCATGTTTTATTTAATGCAAAATATGTAGTCAGTATAAAACATTAATAAAATATTTTGCATTTCCTTGTTTTTTACTAAATTTTCAAAATCTAGGGAGTATTTAACACTTAAAGCACATATTTTCATATGGATTTGAACTAGGTACATTCCAGGTTGTTTCAGTAGCCATATGTATCTAGTGCTGTCTGTACTGGATGGTGCCTGGGTGTGCTATCATGTCATATACAAATAGAGATTGTTTTATTTCTCCCACCCCAATTCTTAGACTTTTGATTGTTTTCTCTGAGTACATTGACTAATGCCTCCAATAAAATGCTAAATATTAGTGGATAGTAGGCATTCTTGCTTTATTCCTGACCTTAGTGGAAATGCCTCTTATTTCTTCATTAAGATGCTTCTGTCAGAGTCTCATGTTTTGTGGGACTCCCATTTATATAACAGAAGAAAGGGAAAATTTCTTACAGCCTAAAAGAAACAAATCAGAAAATGACCCCATAGACTAGCTATTTCTGACAGTGTGCATATTTGGTGTCTCAAAGGAAAGAAAACTAGTGACATTGTGGAGTCAGATACTGTTTTCCTGCATTTGAAAAAACATCCTAGAGAATAAACAGAATCTAAAATTTGTAAGAAACCCATCATCAACTTTTATTTTAGTATTAAAGAAGAACTTTAGAAAGCTTAAAGAAGTTTAGATGTTGAAAAATCTGAAAAGGTTGAATGTTTAGATTATTTCAGGTATAGTAAAGGAGAGGCAGCATTTGATTAAAATTCAGGATGAACTGCTTCAGTCAAAAGGACTGCTGAACAACTACAGAAAGAAAAAATGTGACAAGCAACCGAGAGACAATCTTCCTGTAGGAATGCGACATAGTACCTAATTTGAAGCAGCTTTGTCAGGTTATGTTTGGGAGAAAGAAACAAACATAAAAAAACTTATTCATTCAGCTTTCCAGTTCTGTTACTTAAGCCAAAAACCCTTTTAGGAGCCAAAGCCATCTGCAAAATATCAGCCTAATGAGAGAAGCTCCCTGACCAGCAGCGAGCAGTGCCTGTTTTAATCTCATGCTACTGTTACCTTCTGAAACTTTACTTTAAAATAAAAACTCCTTTTTGAAAAAGACAAAAAGGATGTTGCCATTAGAATTGATGTATGCTTTATCATGTTAAGAAGTAGCCAGCTTTTCTTATTTTCCTTGAATAATAAATTTTGTCAAAAGCTTTTTCAGTATTTTTTGAGATAATTGTAATTTGTCTCTGTACACCTATTAATATGCTCTGTTGCTTGATTTGCTAATATTAAACTATTTTTGCATTCCTGGTGTATAAATTTTGCATGGTCATGGTATAGACTCTTTAAGAAGTAATTTTAAGTTCAAGGAAAGTTGTAAGAATCTCTTAACCCAGCTTCACCAATTATCAATATTTTGCCCTATTTGCTCTATCATTTGCTCTCATGTATAATTTGTAACAGTGATACATATTTTATCCATCATCTGTATTCCAATTTTGTCAGTTTACTCAATAATGTATATTATTTTCTTAATGTGATATTAAAAGCTAATATTTAGAACTTTTGCATCAGTATTCATAAGTGATATTTGTAATTTTCTATGTTTTTCCAGATGCAGATAACAGTGTTTTCCTTCATTTTCTATACTCTGAAACAATTTAGGTAGTATTGAGACTGTATGATCTCTGAAGTCTTGCTAAAATTCTCTTGTGAAAAAACCTGGGCCTGTTATTTCTTTGTGACACAGTTCCTTAGTAACTTTTTTTTTTTAACAGGCAGAGTTAGACAGCGAGAGAGAGAGAGAGACAGAGAGAAAGGTCTTCCTTCCGTTGGTTCACCCCCCAAGTGGCCGATCCGAAGCCAGGAGCCAGGTGCCTCCCCCTGGTCTCCCATGCAGGTGCAGGGCCCAAGCACTTGGGCCATCCTCCACTGCACTCCCGGGCCACAGCAGAGAGCTGAACTGGAAGAGGAGCAATCAGGACAGAATCTGGCGCCCCAACCGGGACTAGAACCCGGGGTGCCAGCGCCTCAGGCGGAGGATTAGCCTAGTGAGCCACGGCGCTGGCCCCTTAGTAACTTTTATATGTTTTACATCAAAATTGGTCTGTATAAGCTCAAAATTCCCCGTGAACCTGTGTGGGCCTGCTACTTTTTCATGGAAGTAGTTCCTTGATAACTTCTCACTGCTTTTTCCATCAAAGTTGATCTCTTTGAGCTTCTATTTTTACTGGGGTCAATTTTAGCAAACTGTTTTTCAAAGAAATTACCCATTCTGTCTAGGTTTTGAAATTCATTTCAATAAGAGTACAAAGTGGGTATCTCAAGAATTTTTAAATTTTCTTCAACTTGGTCATTTTTGCCTGCTGTCACTTCTTGTTTTTATACTCGTGCTTTCTCTTTTTATTCTGATTAAATTAACTGATGGATTGGGCTGTGTTGATTTTTTTTAAGAACCTGAGATTTTCATGTATTAAATGAATCTGGTATTTTTCTAGTATTAATTTCTGATTTTTAACTGATTTTTATCTATTTCTTTGAGAGGTAGAGTGACAGAAGGAGAGGCAGACAGAAAAGTCTTCCATCTGCTGATTCACCCCCCAGATGTCCCCAGCAGATGGAGGTGGACCTATCCAAAGCTTGGAGCAACGAGCCTCTTCTGGGCCTCCCACATGGGTGCAGTGGCCCAAGCACTTGGGCCATCTTCTACTGCTTTCCCAGGCCAGTAGCAGAGAGCTGATCATAAGAGAAGCAGCTAGGACACAAACCAGTGCCCATATGGGATCCCATCCCATAGGTGGAAGCCTAGCCTGCTATGCCACAGTTCCAGTCCCTCTGATTTTATTTTTATGATTTTCTCTCTCAGTTTCCTCTTTTTTTAAGATTGATTGATTGATTTGAGAGAAAGAGGAACAGAGAGAGATCGTCCATATGCTGGTCACTCCTCAGATGGCTGCAGCAGCCAGGGCTGGGCCAGGACGAAGCCAGGAACCAGTAGCTTCATTGTCCTCTCCCTTGTGGCTGACAGGAACCCAAGCACTTGGGTTATCCTCTGCTGCTTTTTCAGGCCATTAGCAGGGTTCTGGATCAGAAGTGGAGCAGCCAGGATGTAAACTAATGCCCATATAGGATGCTGTGCCTTTACCTGCTGTGCCACAATACCAGGCCCCCTGTGTTTTCCTATGGCTTACTTTTTTTCTACTATTTTTGAATTAAAATATAATTCACATATGTTCATTATTAAATGTTATTTTAATTTAATTTTATTATCATTTATCTGTTTGAATGCATTTAGCTTCATTTTACAGTTATAAATTATCCTTTGGTTAGATTTAAAGGTATCTCATAGATTCTGGTATGTAATATTCTCATTTTTCAGAAATTCTGTAATTCCTGTTTTCATTTCCTGTTTCATATGACTTTGTAAAAAAAAAAATGTTTTTTGGGGCTGGTGCTGTGGCACAGCAGGTTAAAGCCCTAGCCTGCATGCCAACATCCCATATAGGCACCAGCTTGAGTCCTGGCTGCTCCACTGCTAATGTGCCTGGGAAAACAGTGGAGGATGGTCCAAATCCTTGGGCCCCTGCACCCATGTGAGAGACCCAAAAGAAGTTCCTGGCTCCTGGCTTCAGATCGGTCTGGCTCCAGCCGTTGCAGCCATTTGGGGAGTGAACCAACAGATGGAAGACCTCTCTCTGTCTCTACCTCTCTCTAACTCTTCCAAATAAATAAATATTTTTGTAAATGTTCATTTATTTATTTGAAATGCAGAGCTACAGAGAGAAAGGGGAGTGAGACAGACAGAGATATTCCATCTGTTGGTTCACTTCCCAAGTGGCTACACCAGTTGGGGCTGGGACAGGCCAAAGCCAGGAGCCTGGAACTCATTTGGGTCTCTCATGTGAATGGCAGGGTTTCAGAAACTTGGGCAATCTTCTGCTGCCACAACTTTTGCCTCCGGTTTGATGAATTTTAATGAACTGATATTTGCTTGGCATAACGGGGTGCTTGGATACATGCCATATAACTTTGGACATAAGACCCCTTTAGGCTCTCAACATACACAAGGGATTACTATAGCTGAAAGCAAAATACAGGCCAAACTCAAATCCTGGGGAACCTAAGTTTATCACCAAAACTGAATACTAGGCCGGCGCCACGGCTCACTAGGCTAATCATCTGCCTGCGGCGCTGGCACACCGGGTTCTAGTCCAGGTCAGGGCGCCGGATTCTGTCCCGGTTGCCCCTCTTCCAGGCCAGCTCTCTGCTGTAGCCCGGGAAGGCAGTGGAGGATGGCCCAAGTGCTTGGGCCCTGCACCCCATGGGAGACCAGGAGAAGCACCTGGCTCCTGGCTTTGGATCGGTGCAGCGCACCGGCCATAGCGGGCATTTGTGGGGTGAACCAATGGAAGGAAGACTTTTCTCTCTGTCTCTTTCTCTCTCTCTCTCTCTCACTGTCTAACTCAGCTGGTCTGGGAATGACTGTCTACAGTCTACACTGTGACACACAGATGCAAAGCACAGAAAAAGAAAGCAAGCCTGGTACATGAAGCAAGCATCAGAAAGGCCTGAAGCTCAAGAAGTCAGTCAGAGGTGAGGACTACCAAGGGCTAATGACAAACTTCAGGAAACAGATGAAGTATAGAGAGGAAGCCCAAATGATGTTCCCCAGATACTGCTTTGTCAGTTACAGGTTTGGAATAGGTGGCGGTATTTCTAGCACTATAAAGTATGCTCTAGTTCAATATATAC